TGAGGGCAATGAATGTACAAATGCGCTTTACACAATTGATGTATGTATGGATTGTGATAAGAGTTGTAGGAGCCCCTAATAAAACGATTAAAAAGAAAAGAAAAGAAAACAAACGAAAAAAAAGTGACATCCTAGCCCTTCAAAACTTTAAAGAGATCTGTGTAGCACATTTACTCAATGCAATGAGTTATGTGATCTCTTGCTTCCATGAGCATTGGTTACAGATCTGAGCAATGTGAAATGCTTGACACTTTCAAACTTGTCTCTTGGTCTTGTGAGGACTTTGAGCTGTAATCTATATTGAAGATTGCACTCCATGATCTTCATCAGCAAGTGCTTCAAGTCTTCCTCACTTTCAGCAAGCAAGGGTGTGTCATTTGCATATCTCAGGTTGTCAGTCATCCTTACTGCAATCCTGGAGGTGTGCTCTTCCTCCTCCAGTCCAGCTTCTCTGATTATTTGCTAGTATACAGATTGAATTAGTATGACAGGACACAACCCTGACGTACATCTTTCCAGATTTTAAACCACGCGCTGTTCTCTGGTTCTGTTCACATGACTTCCTTTTGGTCCGTATACAGGTTGTGCATGAGCAGCACAGGGGAAGTGTTTTGGGATTCTCATTCTTCTGAATGCTAACCATAGTTTATAATGATTCACACAATCAAGTGCCTTTGCATAGTCAATAAAGGATAAGTAAACACCTTTTCATATCCTCTACTGTTAGCCAGCCTGTCTGATCTGATTGATATCCTTCCTGCTCTGTCTTCTGTATCTGGCCTGAATTTCTGGCATCTCCCTGTCTATGTACTGCTGCAACCTTTTTTGAATTATCTTCAACATTCTTTCTTTGAAATTGGTACAAATCTGGATCTCTCTCAGTCAGTTAGCCAGTTAGCTCTGTTCTAAATTTTTGGATATAGGTCAGTGAGTGTGTCTAGTTCTTCATCAGTATGTTGGAACATTTTTTCTGGAATTCTATCAATCGTTGAGTCTTGTTTTTCATTAATGCCTTCAGTGTGGCTTGGACTTCTTCATTCAGTGTCATCAGTTCTTGATCCTGTGCTAACTCTTGAACTAGCTGAATGTCAACTGGTTCTTTCTGGTACAGTGACTCTGCGTACCCCTTCTGTCACCAGCTGCCTGCATCATTCAATGTTTGCCCATAGAATCTTTTACTATTGCAACTTGAGGCAGGGTCTTTAGCCACTCTCAAACAAATATGTGGGCAGGTGTCTCCTCTTGGTCCTGAGTCTATGGGGGAGTCCATGTAGTTCCGTTTCCCTTTCGTTAGCTTCCCTTGCAAGATCTCATCATTTCTACCCTCCCTTGGCACCACGTATGTGGAGGGAGTAGTGCTACCAACCTCTGTAAACGTGTTAGGGTCTCTGTTCACCCAGTGTGTGTGTGTGGGGGGGGGGGAAGCAAGGGAGTGTAGCTCAACACACTCTCTCCTAATTGGATGCAATGAAGGTTGTTTTGCACCATGGGAAAGGTTGTTTGGCAAGTAGTTGGCCCACAGAGAATTCAATGTTCTTTCCAACTCTTGTCTGTGTTTCACTCTTCAATTTCCCAGTCAGTGGTGGCCCACTGACTTCTCCTACTCCAGGTTTTCACTCCTTTTCCCTTATTTGGGATCTTTGCCTCAGAGGGTGGATATAGAACATCTGTTTAGGTTTCTATCTTTTACTGGAAGCTCATAATCCTCTATCTTAATATGAACTGATTTTATTGGTTTTAGGGAGATTATATTGTGAACAAATAATTCCTGGCATAATTTGTGGTCATTTTTAATGCAGCCATATAGTAATTAATAAAAGCTCCTTTGCTTTCTAGATTTGCCACTCTGGGAAATCCTGAATACTGTCCTATAAAGCAAAATCTCTAGTGGACTGAGCTTCTGCTAAGAATGCTGGAAAAATCTGAGAACAGTTAGGGGTGTTGGTTGAATAGCCTAATAAATACAGTAAAAGTCCCTGACCTGTCCATGTGACGACTGTAGAAATGGCGAATATATTTGTTACTTAATTACCACAATAAAAAACAAAATAAAATCTAGTTGACAATGGAACTAAGAATTAACATGATGTCTTCTGTATGACATACAGTAGGTGCTTCAATAAATATTTATTGAATCAATTAATTAATTTATATCCCAGACAGGAACATTGGGATCTTGCCCTGCTTACGAAGACCTGGTACACAAATCTAGCCAACATCAGGCTTCCTTTCTTGGAGGAAATTGCATTTGGTAATTCTGTGCACCTTAAACCTTGTACCACCTCCAAGAAGAGCATGCTCCCCTCAGTAGAAAGTAAGTTCCCCAAGATGTACTTTCATAAGTTAAAATGTCTTCTGTGTCATTTTGTTTATTCTCAGAGAAACCTTTCAAAATATTTAGCCATACCCTGACTCTCCATCTTTGTAGCATTGCCATCTTGTTCAGCATTAAAGAAGGGGATTTTTGGCAGTGCGATAAATATCCAGTTTTGACTAACTAATGCCGGGTGAAAAACGTCAATCCAGTTGCTCTGCGTACTCTTCTCTCTTTCTCCAGACATCCAAATGGAAAGGAAGTATGAGATGGAGCGCCTGGAAGACCTCAAACACCAGAAGAACAGAGCGCAGGAAATTCCCTGTGCCCTAAGGGGCAGGCCTGTTGGTTTGAGACGACCTCTTCCACCTAAGTGACCATCATTCCATCACTGAATTCGGACTTTGTGTTTTTACACATCCAAAAGGGATGAAGGACTCCAAAGCTTTCACTGTGCAAAGTGCAGTGTCGATATAGGAGCGCCCGGATGGACAGGCCAGCTCCCCCAGACATGAAACTGGGTGGACCAGTTTCACAGATCTCCTGGGTCCCTGTGCACACTTTTCCCTCTGTCACAAGCTACAACATGAAGTAGATGAAGATGCAGTTGGAGTTGAGTGATTTGTCCTGTCTATGTTGATTGTTGTAAAGTTGCCAGAAGGGAAGAGAACACCTTTGTCCAAGATGTTATTTTGAAGAGACATGTTGAGTTGGCTTTTTTGAGACTCCAAGGAGGGGCCACACAGAAGATGAGAGAGAGAGTCTTTGAAAAACGATTAATTGTTACAAATTTATTTGGCTAAGAAAAAAAATTAAGTTTCATTGTAGTGACTCCCTAGTTTCCAATTAAATGCTTATTCTTTTTACATGGTACTCTCACAAGGAGAACTTACTTTCTTTTTATCTTTCAAGAAAGTGGTAAGCCTGTTTTTCCTTCTGCCTAATTTCATGTGAAGTGTATGTGCATGTGTGGAAAATGACATGAAAACACAAAGGACTTTATAAGGAAGAAAATTCTGATATTGACTCAGAATAGCTGGGGAATGGGGTCTTGATTAGAAAAACGCTGCATTTGGAGGAATGAATTCTGAGGATTTAATCCAGTAAAGCTCACTAGATGCCCAAACCATATTTAAACCCATTTGAGTGGTTTTTAGATGGTTCTGTAGGCGTTCTAAGATCTTCTGGTATCTAAGTCTAATTATGGAAGGTACCATAGCATAGTAAGGGAAAGAACTTTACTGCCTTTCCTCAAGTCCCACTTTGGCCACTTATGTCAATGGGACATTGGGTAACTCACTGTATGGCTCCACCTGGTTTCATATGCTTAGAGTAGGAACAGCATTTGGACCTAGTTCACAGGGTTGTCATGAAGATTAAGTGGAAAATTCTTGGCACACAATGATAAATACTCTCATGTTGACCATGGCTGTAAGCTTTACCACCCTGGTTACACTGTAATGTAGGTATATTATTTCGGCTGGCTGTCCTCGGGTCAACCCATGGTTGAACCTAGTGGTGTTTGAAATACTGGTGGATTATCTTCCACCATATCAAAACCAAACTCATTGCTATTGAGTCGATGGGGAATCATAGTGACTCTACAAGACAGGGTAGAACTGCCCCTGTGAGTTTCTGAGACTGTAACTCTCTACAGAAGTAGAAAGCCCCAACTTGTAACCACTACACAACCTGGGCCCCCTATAACTCTCATAAGCCACTACAATCCAACAAATTAATACATGGTAGAATCAAATATAGAAAATGGATAATACTAAACTGACCTTATTTAACATTGTGGATACCAGAATTCTCACATTTTCAAAGACATGATTTTGTTCTTGTTAGTGTCTGTATATTTGGTTTTTCATTTCAAAGTATGTCCTGATCATCTATCTAAAAAATGAACCCTAGGGATCAGCTAGCCACTTGTGCCTCACTCTTAAAAGTAGCTTAAATAATTTGGAAACAATAAGCAAACATTTCTTGATTATCTTTCCTGTGTAACCTGAGTATCAAGTTATGGTCTGTCCCTCAGGATCCATTTAAGGGAAACTTAAGTGTTTCATATTTCGTCCCAGAGTTTTATACTTGTTACTTGGTGAGATTAGTTGGAAATATAAGTTATATGCTCTTATGTTCTTGACAGTTTCGTCAGCTTTTTGCAAAAAACTTCCCATGGTTTTTTAAAAAAATGAGTGTTAGTTGGGAAAAAGTGGTATCCGAGAGAGCTTTAGGAGCCCTGATATTGGGTAAGTATTAGACTGGGCATAATAGGTCACTGGTACAAACTCAACCGATGAGGCTGTCTGGTTCCATAAAGGCATCTTATCTCAGAAACTACTTAGGTTCACTATGACTCAGAATCGATGCAATGGTGATGGGCTTTAATGCTTCCCAGAGAGAGCAGTGTCAGCTTGCTGCTTTCAGAGTCTTTGAATTACACAATGTTTGGGGGCAGACATTTAAAACTGCACCTATTGAAATAAAATTAAGCTGCAAAAGAAATTCAAATAGTAAATGTTAATGTGTTGTCTTCTCCTGAAATGGTGTAAAACAGGAATGGTGTCTTGTTTATCTCAGCATCCAAGTGCCTCGTCTGATGGCTAATTCATGTAGAGTGTCAGTCTGCACTGACTGATGAGAACGTGCTCCGAGGATGCAAGTCTATAGTGCAAAGGCCATACCCTCGGTTTGTGTTTGCTCTGTTTTGGGTTTTGGCCGTAGGAGGATTTTCATTGAGAGGCAGCCATAATGTGGTTGAATGTGGGGCTTAAACAATTCAGGTCTCAAATATCAGAATGAGAAATCCCCTGACATAAATCGATAAATCAATAAATTGACATCTTAGGGTGGATACCATAAATGAGCAAATCAGACCATTGGTACAGTACAGTGGAGAGCACACACTTCATCAGAAGAGGTAGCAGCTTCCCTGCTCTACCCTGCTGATGCCCTGGGAAAGTATCCCAGGGGAAAATCTTCAGTATTTCAATAGAAGCTAGAGCTAAACCAACAGAAAGAACACAGCTGTGTTATTATGGAAAATTTCAACATGCAAAAGTAGTGACAGAAAAAAAAAAAAGAACTTCCAAGTCCTTAGTATCCATTGACCATTAGGAATTCATGGCCCATTTTACTTCCCCTTGTATTAGAGCTTAAATTTTGAGCTCCCCATTTGTAGAAGGCTGTGGAGGACAGTGGCCCCCAAACCCATTTGTAGAATCCCCACATGGATTAAGTCTCCACAGAATTCCTTCTGATGAGTAACCGAGGATGGAGCCCTGGTGGCAGAGTGCTTGCCTTTGGAAGAAACCATCAGGTGCTCCGCAGAAGAGAGGGGATGCTTTCTACTCCACAGAGATCGATAGATTTACCTCGTCCTATAGGGTCACCATGAGTCAGAATTGACTCATTGGTAGTGAAGTTTTTTAATTTTATTTTTCAGAGATAATCTTGCCCTGAGCCAAAGTACATTGGAAACTGGATTACTTCCACCCTTCTCCAGCCATCCCAGAGGGGCCGTCTTTTAGGGGCTTACCTGGGCATGTCCTTGATTGGCAGTACCGGTGTCACATAATCATGAGTCCTGCCCTATCAGTCGTGTCTTGGTCAGAAGGCCCAGAACCAATCGTTTAAGCTCCTCTATCTAACATAACATACGTGTCCTAATCATGGCCCTATTCCCACTTCCGTAGTCCCACCTGCAACTATGATGTACTGATCTGCCACCAACCATAAATTTGTAGCAGTTACCTTTGTTTCATGCCTTATTTAACTAGTGGCCTGCGGATCCGCAGACACCATTATGACGTTGGGCTAATGGTCTGGCTCATCTGGATAATATGTCTGTATCTTTAGGTTGTCTTAGTCCCTTTTAAGATTTAATAAATGCTCTCTTTAAATTGTATTTAAGACCAGGGTCTCCTCTGTACCCTAAAACACCCTACACACTCACTTCCCCAGTCTCTGTCACTGGATTATTTTGAGAAAAGCAATTGACATCATTTTAGTTCATCTGTAAAGATGCGGGTTTTGTGGCTCAGTGCTTGATCACCGTGCTACCAGAGCTCAACAGTTTTGCAAATGTGAATACTTCCAGTTTTATAAAAGTACTTTCCCAATAGCCATTGAGTCAATTCCAAGAGGTGGACCAATCCAAACATACCTATGGGGTCACTTGTGTATTGTCAGTTGGACTTCTGATTACATAGTAGCTGTGCCTGACAATTGCTGCTCTAAAATTATTTAGAAGCTATTGTCCAGAATTATCTTCAGATATGGTCTTCTGCTTTGTGATGAAGATCACTTGCTATTGGGGATTTTCCTGTTACTTCTAATAAGGGTTTGTACCCGGGAGTCATAGCGCCAAATCACTAATTCCAAGTTAAAAAAAAGAGCGTATTCGAAGGCGACCCCAGTGGGGCATCTGACAGCATCACAAACTGTCTTACTGGCGTGCTGTCAGAAAGGAAGGCATGGAGACTATGTACCTTGTCCTTTGGGCTTCACACCCCGGGACAGTCACGTACAGATGTTTTGCATTAACTTGGGTTTCAGAATAATCTAATCATGAGATTTAATTGCTAACTTTTAACAAGCAGAACAATAAGGTTCTGTAAGACTTAGGACATCCTCAGGATGTTTTCTGTTGACTGAGACAGTAGCAGGAATTAAGGTTTTGACTATGGACAATCAGATAAGGCAAGTAAGAGGGGCGTTTACATTGTTGAAGGAATCTTTGTTATTTTAATAATTCTCAGAATTATGACTCTTCCAAGAAACATTAACATCTACAATGTTTGCCTCTGAACAACGTCAAAAATCATAACAGTTCCAAAGAGATTGCAATGCGACACAAGGAACACATCACGTGAGTCATACTAATTAGGGTGTGTTCGGTAGGTTACATGACCCCGTTGATTGAGTGTTATCCTTAAATCTGGAGAGAGTTGTCAAGACCCAGGCCTGGTATGCAGTTTTGTTGTCCGGTGGCTTTGAGAAAGTAAAGCTTCCACATTCCTAGAGCAAATTGTCCCCATGCAATTCCAATGTGCTTTTTAAGACCAGCCACTCCCAAGGTTCTTGATGGAAAGGCTAGGCAGGCCGTGCGTGTTTTTCAGTTCTACCACTTCGTTCCATTCCCTTTACACACGGGTTCTTTCCCTAGTTGTTCTTTCTGCCATTTGATTATGGGGTTCCTCTGCTAAGCTATGATTATGACAGCTGGGTTGTGTATCAAGCAACCTGTGTAGTCTTCATTAATGTTCTCTATCATACTTCTCTAGGTTCTAATACCCACTGCAATGGCTACGCAGAACTCACAAACAAAATTCATGAGTAAAAGGGTTGATTAAAGATATTAATAAGTTGTCATGCCAGTCAGGAATGCTCAGGGTTGAGTTGTTTATCAGGACATATCACAAAGCTCTGTCAAGTCTGCTAATAAGTGTTCAAAAGGCATAGCACTCTGCTGTGACCCTCCACCAGAAAGCATTAGTGTATGTACCTTGGATCAGCAAGCCTACCTTCCCCCAATAAATGCCCAGGGGCATCACCTCAGAAAAGCCAGCCTCCTGCACAAAAGCGCTCAGCTCTCC